TATGATTTATTTAGATGTTGCCGTATGAATTAATTCTCTCTAATTGCTGCTCTTCTCACTGTAAATCAAGGTTTCTCGCTTTCTGGAGAGTAGTGAACATGATCCTACACTGAAGTAATTAGTCCAATTAGAAAGGAAAGCAGATGTGGAAAACCAATTACTTTCAGGAATATGTTTGCTCCTGTGTAGTCCAAATGCCGTTCAATCAAAATGTAATAGTAGTTTAATAAAACATTGTTTTATTTATAAGCTCTATCCAGCATTAAGACTTCACTATCTCTTTTGGAGAAGCCAGTTTGGGCTGGCTTTGCGGGTGCTGAGCTTGCTTCTGACTTAACTCCTGGTTTACAATTCACTGAGAGAAGACACAGAGAGAGAATCACTGTGAGCAAGGGCAGGATTCCCTTCCTTCTTGGAGACGCTGAGCTGCAGGGAGAATGAAATGAGCTTGGCATTTATACACTTGCCAAGGAAATAATCTAGCAGAGAATATTTCAGTAGGGGTTGATACGGGTCATTACACTTGCACACCCCATTTTGGATGAGAAGCCTGTGGTGAGGGACTCACCCTGAAGCTAAAACCACATCAAAGGGATGAAATCCCATGGGTGCTTCCCAGGGCTGGGTCGGTGCTTGCTGTTTTCCAGTCATCTGGGACCTGGGCACAAACTGGGCAGCAAATGCCCATCAGCATCCAGATCATGTCCTGACCCAAATAACTTAAAAGCTGCTGTTGTAAAGGAAACACAGTGTAACAGTATTAGTTGTGCTGGTGATGTGAGAGCCCAGTCTTTCACTGGACTACTCTACATGGAGCTGGACTCATCAGTTTCCCTCTCACACTAATTTTGCAGCTGAGTTCTGCAGTATTTACCATCAGCAGCAAGGTTCTCTCGCTCTGTTCAACTCATTGTAGTTGTTAAATGCAGCCTCAAATCTCTGCTAAGAGAGAATGGCCACCAAACTGCAGCCAGCACTTGCAGTCATACTACATCAAAGCAATTCTGCAAACCTCTAGCCTACTGAAGATTTCCATTAGGCAGGAGCCTGTGTAGTTGGAAGAGGTGGTTCTGTGTTCCTATGCCCATCATGTCTCTCAGTTTGGAAACAGGATTTATTTAGGATGTACTTTGTTTAGCATACAGGAGTAATCAATAAAACATCAAGTGCCAGGAATGGAGGGAAGCAAATGCTCGGCACTTCTCCCTGTAATTAATTCCACAGTGCTATTCAGTCACAGCCCAGCACCAGGAGGGGCAGGACCAGAGAGCAGAGCAAACACAGCTTGTCTGTCTGCAGAGGGAGCCAAACAAAGTCAGGATGGTCTCTTTGGGGCTTGTTTTTTTAAGCTCTTCATTAAAATACCTGCAGAGGAGTTTTGCATTGGAGGTTCACCCATCTATTTTGTTCTCTCTCCTGCACAGAAGAGTGTTCTCATAATCGGTCCATTAATGGAGGTGTTAAAATGTTACCAATTGTCAAAGGCAATTAAGTGTAGCAACCTGTCACAGGTAAATTAACAAGACTCCAGGTGTTGGGAGAAAATTGCATTTGTGTGGGTGGAAAACAGTTCCAATCTTGGATGGTTGTACAGTTTTGATGGGCTCTGTTTTGCTTTGGGTTTCTGTTTTTAGGGGAATGTAGGTATGTATCAGCACCTGAGCTGGCTGCATCTGTAGGGTCTCTGATGTATTGTATAGCCCTGATTTTGGAGATGCTTGAAATCCATAGCTACTCTTTCCTGGAAGATAATCCATTTTCTAGCCAGACCTGTGTATCCAGACTGTTTTCAGACTTGCTCTGGTCCAACAGAGACAGAGCTTGTGCCAGTTTTGTTACTTCCCACACTAAGAGGTTTTAACAGGTTTAAACTTAAATACAGGAGATTTAGGTTAGATATAAGAAAGAACCTCTTCCCTGTGAGGGTGCTGGGGCACTGGTACAGGGTGCCCAGAGAAGCTGTGGCTGCCCCATCCCTGGCCAGGTTGGACACAGGGGCTTGGAGCAAGCTGCTCTAGTGGAAGGTGTCCCTGCCCATGGCGGGAGATTGGAACAGGATGAGCTCTAAGGTCCTTTCCAGCCCAAACCAGTCTGGGATTCTGTAAGAATTACAGGTTAGTCTGTGTGCTCGGATCCTTGGCAGGACTAATAGAGCTACTGCTTGGAAATGTAGTAGGAATAAATGCACTGAGGGTGCTGTGATTCCCTCAGTGGTTTGCATGCAGCAGTAGTAGAAGCATCTCTAATACCCTCTAGCTACTTACTTTTATTGAGTAGCACATCTAATTAATAGCAAGATCTGGTAAAAATATTTGAGGGGGGGAAAATGCACACATCCAGTTCAGCTTCTGCTTATTTGTGCATCTTATGCACTATACATACAACCTATTGTAGTATGGCTTTAGTTTTGAATTCACTAAAGTACTAATTTGTCTGTGATTATGGCTTCTATACTTCTCAATAAAGTTCTTGCAGATACTTCTTATTACAAATGGTGAGAACGCTGTTATCTGTGCTCCATGCAGAGCTATTTTCAGGCAGACCTGCAGTGCCCCAAACTTGCTGCTGAGAATATTCAGAGTTTTAACCTTTGAATGAGTATCGTGGGTTTTATTTCTGGTTCCTATTGTAACAGACAAGATCTGGAGTTACTAACTTGGGGGTGGCCAGCAGCTGTATGGCTCCTGCCAAAGCCCATGGCATGCTGCCCTCCCCCTGCAGCTCCCAGCACTGTGATGCTAAGAGAGACCACAAAAGGGTGGCACTATCACATGGGCCCATAATTATCACTCTTTGTTCCTTTTCTCTTCCTGATGTATTAGATGCCCTCCCTGCAAAGAGATCTGTGATTGTGTGTATGTGCACACGCGTGCTTGAGGGTGGGTGAAACCCTAATTGTATGTTATTAAAATATTATGATTTTCTTCCCTTTCCAAGCTGCAGCAGCGTGCAGCACCTCCCTGATGCCTGGTGCAGCTGCCTTTGACTGGCACTTGCAAGGTTGTCCTCCAGGTGCTGCAGCAGAAGTCTTTTGACACAGTGTCAGTAATTAAGTGTACAATTAAGAGAATGTCTGCAATTAAGTTCAATCAGTCAGTCAATCAAAGCTACACTTGTAAAGGGTTTCTAAAGGGCCTCTTATCCAAACCTCCCCTCAGCTTCAGAGCTCTGCGAAGTTAACACCACACACAAGGAATGGTTATCTGAAGCAAGCCAAAGAAAGGGCTTGTGAGGTTTGTATGGAGGCCTCGCTGCCTCCTGGATAAGAATTTACTTTAGGTAAGGAATTTAGGCACAGCACTGAAATGCAACTATTACACAGGCTGAAAACTGCTGGCTTTTCTAGGTGTGTCCCTGGTCTTTCAGCTTGGCTCAGTAGCGTTCTCACCTTCCTATGGGAAAGACTCAACAAGGACAGAGATTTTGCTGGGTTTGTGCCATTTCAGGCATCTTGTAGCTCATGCCAGTGGTGTTATTTGACAGAGAAACTGGAGTGCCTGTGCACTTGCTCCTTTTTTGCTGCCCAGTAAACACATCTTGAGTGAAAGCATTGCCCTGCTTGGGGTAGTTATATGTAATGATTTTCCTTACCTGTGCCAGTTACAGCTTAGACTGTGTTTGGGGTGTTGTACTGCACCTCAGCACAGCAGCTACTTGCACATGCAGAGGATTCTGTTGTGGCTTCTGAGCCAAAGCCCTTGCTGGGAGTGCAGCAGCTCACATTTCACAAGGTGAAATAATGAAGCTGCCGGTATCAGAGTGCTTGTTCGTGGCTTGTGTGTCTTTGTAACGGGTGTTTAAGAAATGCCATCTCTGAAGTCAGAGCAGTTGGCCTACTTCTTGTTCTTGCTAATGTGCCCTTTTTGAGAGTGACATCTCTCTTGATAGACTTGGCTACCACGTTTTGTGGAATCGTAGAATCCCAGCCTGGTTTAGGTTGGAAGGGACCTTAAAGCTCCTCCTGTTCCAACCTCCTGCCACGAGCAGGGACCCCTCCCACTGGAGCAGCTTGCTCCAAGCCCCTGTGTCCACCCTGGCCTTGAGCACTGCCAGGGATGGGGCAGCCACAGCTTCTCTGGGCACCCTGTGCCAGTGCCTCAGCACTGTAACAGGTTTGGTTTATTTTCTGTGCTCTGTGAAGTTGATACTGAGGCTGTTAGTAACCAGTGTTTCAGCTATGCCCCAAATCAACCCATTTCAGTGGGCTTTTCCAGTTCCCCCTCACCAAGTTGCATTGACAGATACTATTCAGAACTTGGTATTCATGAATAACATCAGGAAAGGTCATGGAGGTTTAAGTTGTTCTATACACATAAGCTTTGTGTCATTATGAGCGGGCCTGTAAGTAGGTGTGGGGAGTTGCAGCTAGAAAAAGGCTGTGTTCATCTGCATGAGTGTACCCTGGTGGTGAGAAGGCCACTTCGACTTACCAAGGTTTAACATTATGCCCCAAGTACTGGTGCTGGCAGCACCAGGAAGCAGTGTCCAAATGCATGAGCAAGGACTACTAGCTGGTACTTCTTTGGCTGTTTTGCTTTGATCTCACTCCTTTTGCCTGAAAGTTTTTCTTGTCTGAATTGCCAGCTCTATATCATCAGTTACTGTCTAAGGTCTGGAAATATTCAGTCTTCAGACTGCTCATATTACTCTAAGGAGTAACTTGGGTTTTTCTTGTCTCTGGTACTACATCAGTGTGAGCAACAAGCCATGGTTCCTTTGATAAGGAGCTTGCATTTACATAGCACCTGTCATCTCTTAAAGCAGTCTTGCTGACTGCACAGTGTATTGACAAAGACTTGTCCAGAGCAATGTGTGTCTCTGGCAGTTTGGCTGCTGTCTCATTATATTCATTGCTTTAATGTATGGAAAGCTGTTAGCCAAAGTGTCCTTCACATGGGGGGGAAGAACAAATGACTAAGTAATATATTGCTTGTAGGGCTGTAAATATTATTCCCTACCATATCATTAATACCCAACTATATTTCTGTCTTCATCCATAGAGCTCACAGTGCCCTACAGATAAAGGCCTCTCATGCCTGGGAAGCTGAAGCCAGCCGGGGATGATGGAAGGGCGAGAAAGTGGCGAGTGCAGCATCGTGGATCTGCAGCAGAACCAAGCAGTTGCCCAGCACAGGCTCCTTCCCTCTGGCCCTGTTGCTGCCCAGGCAGTGGGAAGGTGAGTTCCTTTTATTTTATTGTCATTAATTGGAAAATAAGCAACCTTGTGCATTTTCATCTGTTTATGCTTCACACACGGTACTTGTTCTCTTGCATTTTCACTCTGTCTCACCAAAAAATAACAGGGGAAACCCCCCAGTTTGTTGCCGGTGCTCTTGTTACCCCCCACCATCAATCAGCACCACAAGGCTAAGGAATGGCTTGCTAAGGTCCCTAGTTCTGGGATGCCCTGAAGAAAAATACTTTAGGAAAAGATCCCAAGAGTGGGTTTTTTTGTTTTTTTATTAGGTATTTCAAGATAACCACAGAGATGGAGTAGTAGATGGATAAGAAAGTACAGAAAACTGAAAGAGAGTAAGGTTGGCTAGATTCTGGTCTGAAAATATGTTGTGGTCCTGTTGTTGCACTCCTTCTCAAAAGAAATAATTACAACTTTGAAACATTAAGCAGGGAAATTGTTTTTTGTAAGATGCCCAACACAAGGTGCGGTTATGCTGAAGAACAAACCTGGAAATCGATGCTGGAAGCTTTGACAACCCGCACTGCTGACTAGAAGAGCTCAGCACCACGGCACGTGGAAGCTGGCTGTTGGCTTTCCAGGGAGCAAACCCTTTACAGGTCTGTGTTGGTAAGAAAAGCCATCAGCAAGTAGTTTTTGAATGCTTCTGAAGTCAGTCAGATAAGAGGGGGAAGGAAGGATTAGGCAGGCAGCTGAGAAATAATACAGCACAATAAATTCTTGAAATCTGGTACTAAATCTATCAAAGTAAATAATGTGTCCTTATGGTAGGAGGACATTATTTGTGTTTTGTTTTAAATTTGCCAGACCTAATTTCTGGGTGCATTTGTCTTGGGGAAGTGAGAACTTTGAAAAGGCAATTACAATTGGTGAATGATTAGTATTAGGTGTGACACTTTTATGCATCAAATATGTTTAGCTGCATTAACCTTCAAGGAATTTACACTGACACCTGAAAAGATCCATCTCATGCTCAGCTTGAAAAAATCTAAATTCTCCCTTGACTTAAATCTTATTTACATTCCCTTTATTACAAAATAAATGTGTCTAAAACGTTAATAGATTTTTGCCAGATTCTGAAGGCAGAGTGGCAGGAGAGTTGGAAGGAGCCAGGCAGTGCTGGTGTGAATCTGGAGAGGAAAATCTCAAGGGAAATGGTGTGATACATGTGTGCTGAAACAACGTTACATTCTGGTTTCTTCACTGGATAGACCATCCTAGAGGGAAGGTGACTGAAAGCAGTGAGGTTGCACATTTCATTTTTCCACATTAGGGTTTAATTTCCTGTTAATAAGGTATTTGAGCCTTCCAGAAAGCAGCTTTTGGTCTTTGTAGGCTTTTAATCTTTACATATTATGCAGAAAGTAAGTACATTCTTAAAATGGGTTCTTACTGTAGCTGTTCAAGAAATGCTCAGATTACTGAACTGCTCATGTACTGCTGCTCTCCGTGTCCCAGCACACCCGCTCTGTTTGGATCCATGGTGTATCCAAACCTCCATGCAGGTCCCTTCTCTGTCAGTGAGAAGCAGTTCCTCTTGTTGCTGATTCATCTCCATGTCTCTTGTGCTTCACTCCACTGAAATCTGGTTAGGTATGAGACAGACTCCGGTGGAATGAAGGACAACAGAATCCATGGATCGTCCTTATTTCACTTGGAAAACGCAGGCGAGTGTGTCATGTGCTAACATACCTTTTAGAGACAGCTGGTACACCTGCATGTGTGACTTGTATGTGGATGTGAAACTGTACAATCAGTGCGTCTGGGGATGCTACGGGCTGAAACTTTAATTTGCTCTTTTTCCCTCCCCATGCCCCTGTGTTTTAGAATTCACTTTAATTTTACCTTGTAACAAGTAGCCAGGTACACTTCGTAAGGTGAACTGTGGGAACAGCTTACCAAAGGATATGGCAGTTCTCCATCTTTTGAAGGTCTCAAACTGCCAGGAGCTTCTCCAAATTAAATGCTCAAGGCTTTGAGCTTTTATGGCTTTTGCAAGGGAGGTCCAGCAAGATAATCACCATAGTCACTCCTGGCCTTAAATCCCTGAATTTGCAAAATCCAAAGAATGTCAGTAGGCAATTTTCTTGTACATGCTGGTTCTTTTTAAAGACCTTTGGCAATAATGAGAATGTGTTAAGCTACTACTTCCTTTTAGCCTAGATAAGGGAGAAATAATCTCACTTAGTCACAGCCCCACATGATACACTAATTGGAGTCTCCTTGCTTCAGGCTTCTCGTAAAACACAGGCAGATAGCAGAGCAAGGAACATACTGCTTGTCCCAACATGGCATTGCCAAGCTGCCACTGCTCATGCACACACCTTAGTGCAGCGGTGAAATGGATTATATATATTATGGGATTGCCCCGAGGTGCTATGAAGATTCAAATAGTTAAGCTAAGCACTGTCCAAACCCTCTAACAGATGTGTAGCCTCTTCCAAAGAACTTGCAATCTGTGAAAGAGACAAGAATAAAGAAAATAAAGACAGTTAGAAATATTCCTCCCAAAAAAACTATCCCAACCCATCAGGTGCAGTAAAGATGCTTGAGATTCTTGCAAAGCAATCTGATTATAGATTGAAATATTTAAGATACATCATTTGTTTTTCTTTTTATTGGTAAAATTAATACTGAAGTCTGAGTATAATGTGTGTAGTCAGCGTTGTGTGTTGCTTTTCAGATAAAGAATCAAAAACATGGCGGGGTGGTAGGGGGAAATCAGCCCTGAATGGCATAAATCTCATGAGTGACATGAAATTTCACCATGTCCCAGGAAGGAATGGCAAATACTGTTTCCAATTTGGGTGGCTTTGCTTCACAGGGACCTGGGTCACAGTTCCTGTCTCTCTGATGCCTGGGAGAACTGGGTCTTTCAAAGTGCCTGGTGAAATGAAGGCTCTAGTTTGGAGTGGTAACGTGTTTTGGCAACTCTTCCATGCACCTGGATAACTGAAAATTTCCACTTTTAATTTGTTTGTACTTTACATCTTGGGAAAAGTTAGGTGAGGATGCAGAGACTTGAACTGGAATGCTTACCTGTATTTTAACAAAACCCCCTAAAACCCAACCCACAAAACCCCCCACTATGTAGGTGCTGAGAGAGGATTTAGCAGAACAAATAGTTCAGGGTGTTTCTCTCTCGCTTGTGCTTTTGAATATAAACCTGCTGTCTGTTGCTGCATTGAAGCCTCTCCCTTCATTTGTCAAGACATGTTAAAAGCTTTTGGGTAAGTCCTGAGAAAGGGTGGCCCAGGCAGGAACCCATCAACTGAAATTCCTCTATGCAATCCTGGCTTATTTGAAATGCCTTTTATCAGGCAAGTTACAACTGGCTTTAGCACCATAAATGCCTAATGCACAGCTTCCAGCTATTAACCACTTAATGCCTGGAATCCACAAAGCCATATGCCCAAGAGAGCAAATAAACAGTTCAAGGCTTTGTCTTCCTTCAGGAACAGCTCAGATTAAGTAAAGGTGCTTATCAACAACATCTTACATTAAAACAATGATAATAAAAACTTGAAATACAAGCTCCAGGGACCCCCCACCAACAGCTAATTCCCCTTTCCAGTCCTGAACCACCCATGTAAAGTAAATTAAAGGGTACCAGGATGGGTTTTTTTTCATGAGATACCACTTGTTTTTTGCTCCTCCCTGGGGAAAAGTCTTAAGAGTCAAGCTGCACTCTTACATCTACCTGAGCAGTAGCAAACCTTTAACTAAAGGTCAGACAGAATTGTATTGGACTTCCCTGAACTTTAAAGTGAGATAATTTTCCTATATTTCTTTGTAGCGGAACTAAGAAGTAGATGTTCTGAGCCAAAGCCTGTTGCAATTGTTACATTAAATGGACTTTGCATTAGGCCTGGTAATTGCAAGCTCCTGAAACTTTCAGTGCAATGCCCCATGTGCTCTCAAAAGTGCCAGTAACTCATAATCCCAGTTAGAAAATATTTAATGACTTGTTTTACTGGAACATAAGCTTGTATTTAAAAGTAAGCATAAATCAAAGTTGCTTTCTGAAGCTCAGATCTGATGCTGAGACTTCCAGAGGCAACAATCTTCTGCAACCCCTTCCTTATCCAGGTGTTGTCTAAAAATGACCTTGGTTTGGGCCTTTTCTAGGGAATGTTCCTACTCAAAAGTATCATCTGCTGCTCATTCAAGGGTTTCCATTTTTCTCTCTTATGCTGGCATTACCTTCCCATTTGTCCAAAGCTTTTGCCTAAGATTAGCTGCTCTTCATTTTTAAAGGGAAAAGAGCTTTGCATTTCTCTTTTGAGCCAGTTTTGCAACATAATAATAAGTTAAATTTGTAGTTGGCTTTACCGCTGTGCATTGCTCTTGGAGAGGAACCTGACTTTTAGAGCAGTAGCTGAAGTAATTTATAAAGCTTATGATTGTCTGTTCTAAAAGTGAGTGAGAAGGCCTTTGGATGCTTCTCTTTTGCTGGTACAGAACAGCCAGCATGAACGAGACATCCACAGAACAGCAGACAAAGCAACCTGAGCCCACTGGCTTCTCTGGTCCTGGAGATAAGGTCTGCCCCTTCAAGAAACAGCTTGCCTAGCTTAATACTTCAGTATCTGCAGTGCCACATAGCAATACAGGACTTTGGCGGTCAATACCTTAGCAAGCCTGTCAAACCAAAGCAAGTTAAAACTTTCCTATAAGGGAAAAATAACAAATGCAACTACTTTGTTAAATATTTCACTGTTTCATGACATTCCTGGATAGGTAAGAAAACCTTTTGAGTTATTTGCATAGAAAAGAGAAGAATCAAGTGGTTGAAACTAAGCTAAATTCTTATGAAAGATGATTTAGATGGCAGCTCACACCTGGTACTCAATAGCGCTGCTGTAGATCCAGAGCAAGGCCATGGGTTCTAATAGAATTACACTGTTCTTAAATGCCAGTGATTCTTGCCAGTTTAGGAAATAACCTTTCCATGTCTCATCAATTGCTGTGTTGAATAA